ATAATAATAATAATAATAATAATAATAATAATAATAATAATAATAATAATAATAATAATCTATATGAATATCAATAATTTGCATATAATTTTTGAAATATGATCCTAAACCTACTGGATTTGATTTTGTAAAGAAATAATTAACTTAAATTTATGTTTTTGCATTATGTGACAAACTGTAACAAAATATTTAAACCAAGTAATAGTTTTACGTCATAAACTTGTTTTTACATAATAAATTTTCATATATGTAATGTCATTATTTATTTAATATGCTTAATATTTATTTATGGGATGTGCATATTAAATGTTTAATGTATATGATAATTAATATTAAATATTTAATATATATGATAATTAATATTAAATGTTTAATGTATATGATAAATAATTTATTGCTATTGGTAGCATATATAATTAATTACGATAAAATAATTATAGATAATTTTTGTTTTAAATTTAAATTGCAATTCATAATTGAATGATTTTTTTTTAAAAATCCCACCTATACAATCGATGAAACATTTTTTTTTTTGAAAAATCACACGGGCGTTCATATATATTGAACTACAACACCTTATTACAATTTGGAAAGAATCCAAATTTATATGGCTGTTTAATTTTTTTTTAGTTAAAGTTTAATAACATCCCGACTAAAATTTTGTTAATTTTTCCTAAAAATCACACTGAAACACCACCTTTTTAAAATTTGGATTTTTTATTATTTTTGTGGATTAACAATTGTAGATCGTTAATTTATTTAAAAAATTAAAGACAATATCTTGAGGTAATATCTTCAATACTCTAATTAGAATTCTTCTATCCTAAAATTCACCGATAATACTATCTAATTACTCATGTTTTTTTAGGATTAGTATATATCATTTTTGAAAAATTCCGACTACAAAATCATGTGAAATTTTATTAATTTTTCAGACCTTCTTACAGTTTGAAAAGAATCTAAATTTATATGAATTTTTAAATAATTTTGTCAGATAAAGTCTTGGAAAGTCCCGACTACACAATCGTATGAAAGTTAGTTAAATTTTCCAAAAAATAACGCGCAATTGGTTGTCAAAATTTATCTGACTACAATATCTTTTTAAAATTAATTTTTTTCTATTATTTTTGTTGCATTAACAATCGTAAATTGTTAATTGGAATTAAATAAATCAAACGCAATATTTTGAGTTAATATCCTCTATCAAAAAATTCTATACTCTAAATAAAAAAACATCTACTACAAAATTAGTCATAGTACTGCCTAATTATTAATTATTTTTAAGCTTGTCGTATTTAATAATCTCTTAAAATCATATATATATATATATATATATATATATATATATAGGGATGGGTTCACAGGAGAATGATGCTTAGTGAAAAGAAATAAGAATAAATCGTAGTCATTAGATCGGATGATCTAATGGCTAAAAAAATGCTTATTTTCACACTCATTAAGGGAAAGTTGGTAATTATAAGATACACAAACAATTAAAAAAATGTGGGCCCAACCATAAAAATAACACACCCCAACCACGTCATTCTCGCTCTCACACACGCACACTCTAACACACAGTCACACACACACACAATTATCACACACCAAAACACGTTCGGCCACCACCGTCTCACCACACCCACCGCCCTCGCTCACATTCTTCATGCCGGAGCATCCCTCCACCGCTGGAGTCTCACTCGCACAACGCCGCCGCTAGCCGGCCTCCGCACAGAAACACGTCTGGCTGTGCCCCGTCGCCCGCGTCGTTCCCCTTCGCCGGTGTCGTCTCCGTCGCCCGCGCCGTCTTCCATCGCAAGCGCCTCACCGCCGCCGCAACTCTCACCGGAATCGTGTTTGCCGACGGCCTAGGTGCCGTCGCACGTCACCAGGTACAGCCGCTGCCCGAAAAATCGACCTTCAAGCTCGAAGGTCGAGCTTCAATGGCGGAACTTAAAAAAAATTGATAATCACCGGACATCGCCGGCCGAAGTATGCATCGACGTCGGAAGTCGCCAGTGGGAGTGGCTGACGGAGCAAAGGGGTGGTAGGGTAGAAGATGACACATTTTGAAATTAGAGCTTTTTTTAGATTTAGATAAGTTTAAAGGACTTGATTGTAATTTAATGAATTTGTTTTATATTTCAATTTGATACATGTGCCAAATTTATAATTTATAGAAAGTTTAATAAATGAGTATAGCACAATAGTTTTATATGAAATGCACATTAATTATCGATAGATTGCACCATAACGACTGAAACATACTGAACTAAAACATATATAAAATATTATTTTTTGATATATTTTATTTGCATCTATATGTATTAAAATATTAAATATAAAATATATTTTTATTTTATAAATAATAAAGTATTTCAAATATTTAGGTAAATTCATTTGAC